GAATTTATTGATTCATAATTTTGGCCGATAATACAATTGCGATTATCTCGCGATTGGATGATTCAAAATCAATGAATATTAGCTCATTGGATCCATCAAGTCGCAAGGAATCGAATGGTAGTTGTTTTATACGAATCGGTGTGATATTGACCGAGATCGTACATTTTTTGTTTATTGTTTTTTCTCAATATGAAAAATTATGTGATATGACGTCATTTTGACTATTTTGCGACTTTAGCCTTCAATAGGAAATGATTTCGACTATTTCGACTATTTTGGATATCTGAAATGATCCATTTTGACTTCATGTATAATCAGTATAAAAGGTAAGTAAGTCTTCATCTTTTAAAGTAAATTTGAATTGATTTAAGAGTGTGCAGGTGGCTAGTAAAGATATTAAAGATTTAATGGTACAAAAAGGGAAGCTATTACTAATTAAAAAATTATTGGGTATAATGACCGGTCTCATATCTAGATATCTTTGTGTAGCTTGATCAGATACAGTTTTGATATTTCTTTTTAAAAGGTAAAGTCTTTCTGAGTTTACTAATGTAAAATAGTTAGTTTGAATAAGTTGAGGTAGGTCAATGTCAATTAAATTTCCATAAAAGAGCCATTGAGTAGCAACAGGAAGTCTGGCACATTGTGATTCCTCATGAAAGGTATAACCAGTATAGGCTACAAAAGTATTTTGTTTTTTTGGCAAAGACTGTGGATCAGCTGTTAGGTTGATCAGAATAAAGTATTGAAATAAAATTTTGTCTGGAAAAAGTGGGGATTTATAAGATTTTCTAATAATAGTTTGTCCTGAATAAGGTAGATTATAAAAGTTTGTTTCAAGTGGAATCCAAAGAGCAACCCAATCCAATACCTTGGAAGAATCCATAGGAGAAGAAGTTTTAAAACTAGCAGGAACAAATAGACTAATAATATATTGATCTTTGATTCTATTTGACTGCACAGGGTTTAATATGATAGTCCTTTTTAAATGAGAGAACCATTCTGGATTAGAGCTCTGAACAGGTCAGGTCGGTCGGGTAATTGACTTGACCTGACCTGATAAGGTCAGGTCAGGTCAAACATAAAATTGACCTGAATTAAATATACATTTGACCTGACCTGACCTGTCTAAAAAAGGAAACTAAACAATTATTAA